TGGTTTGATGTCTGCCATCCCCAGCTTGCTTCCAACCTCGGTTATAAAAACGCAAACACCTAACTGGTAACTGATAACACACCCGTCTGTCCAACCCAGTGCCTACATTCAACAGTTACCACTTTGCCACATTGGCTACTTCTTTGGCGAACCTTCTAAAATAAGTTGCAGACGTGATGCTTCATCCTTGAGCACTTCAGTATGCATCTCCTAAAAATAAGGACATTGTCCCATATAATCACAACCATTATCACTCCTAAGAAAATTAACAGCCTTGTTAATATCTACTGTTAGTCTGCGTTCAAATTTCCCCAGTTGTCCACAAAATTTTATAGCTTTTTTATCAGAACCCAACCAAGGTCCATCCATTGTATTTGATTGTCTCTTTTGTCTAAATCTAGACCAGTCCCCTCCCAGTTTTAAATGGAATTTTTTGATTGTGGTGTCACTTTACTTGGTCCTTCATCTCCTGTATTTGCTGAAAACTAGAAGTTAGGTCTAAGTGCCTGAAGAATATTTTTGGCAAGAATACTTCATAGGCCACCTCCAGAATTTCAGTATCTCTTTTGTACCAGTGATGTATCAGAAGGCAACACATATCTATAACCTCTAACCTAGTGCTTTCACGGTGGACAGTCTTTAGTTTCTTGTCATTAATGTCACCCGGCTCTTAATCTTCTTAGCATATCTAATAAAAAACAAATTGTACTTACAGAGAACTTTGCTTGGCTGCTTTTATATAGTAGTGATATGTTAAATTTCTTACATATTAGATCATTTAAGAAGGTTCTGGAGTGGACAGATTTGGGGTGCAGCTTGGTTGCTAGCCATGTGATCTTGTGTATCCCTCTATCTGTTTCCCATCTAAAAATGGAGATTTATAATAGTATCTCCTTCATAGCACAAGATCTGGCCTAGGAAAAGTGCTCAGTGTTAGCATAACGTTAATAGTTTTTAGCAGCTGTTGTGATGATAAAACAGAAGCATGTCACCCTGAGCCTGCCTCCATTTTTAGGAGAACCACCCTCTGTGGCACCCTGGACTACCTGCCCCCTGAGATGATTGAAGGCCGAATGCATGATGAGAAGGTGGATCTCTGGAGCCTTGGGGTTCTTTGCTATGAATTTTTAGTTGGGAAGCCTCCTTTTGAGGCAAGCACATACCAAGAGACCTACAAAAGAATATCACGGGTAAGACATAACTAGAAAGGATCCGTCATTTCTGTTAGAATTCTTTATTATCAGCCTTAACTTTAGGCTACGATCTGAATATTTACACTCCTCTTTCTAAACCACGTTTTGACGGTCACTTTTTGTACTCCAGGTTGAATTCACATTCCCTGACTTTGTACCAGACGGAGCTAGGGACCTCATTTCAAGACTGCTGAAGCATAATCCCAGCCAAAGGCCGACTCTAAAAGAAGTACTTGAACACCCCTGGATCACAGCAAATGCATCAAAACCATCAAATAGCCAAAAAAGCAAAGAATCAACTAGTAAACAATCTTAAAACTCTTGCAGGGGGAGAAGTCCTTGAGCCAGGGCTACTGAACAATCTGTCAGGAACAGGCTACTGACATTAACTTACTCTTGACTGCCTGCCTGTAGTGGAGAGTGCCACAGAAAATGTTGTTTTACTGAGCAGGCAGTGCCTCAGCCTCCCCCTTCAGAAAGTTCGACTTCAATAAACATGACACTCTAAAGTGAAAGTAGCCACGAGAGCTGTCTAACTTCACTGGTTTCATAATCTGGAGGCAAAGTTCAACTGCAGCCGCCCCACAGTGTTTCAGGTGAGGCATCCTTGTGGATGGCGACCTCGGAGTCCAGTTGTGGGGAACTGGCTGCTTTGCCCTGACCTGATCAGTTACAGAGCCGTGCAATAACCTCCCCAGTGCTGAGTGTGTGTGTAACTTATTGGGCGGCCAAGCCTGGCAAAGCTGTCAGAATGAATATGTGATTTGTTCTTTTAAATGTTAAAAATAAAGATATTGTATAGACTTGTTTTACTTCTAGGCATTCCTTCAGAAACGCTCTCGTGTCCAACAGCCCTGTTAAACCTGGTTATCGAGGCCTCCTTACCCACTTACCTCCTGAGACTGGAAAATAGGAACATGTGCTCTGCCTCCATCTCGGGACTTGCTTGGGACACGGATGAGATGGGTCTCAGAGCTGTTTCTAAATGTTAAAGCCTTATTACACTGGAGTTATAGTGTGTATGTAAACTTTAAGTGCACAAATACATCTGTCTGGAGTATATGGGTAATGTTCACTGTTCACTGTTGGCCTAGAACTGGGCAGGTACCATGGGAGGAGCAGGTCTGTCCCTCTGTTGGTCTCTCACGTTGTGTGTGCTCCTAATGCATCAAGTTACATATCTGTTTCTAGATAGATGCCAACATCATCTGTTCATCAACCACAGATACGGTGAAGGAAAAGGTGGAAGTGTTGAGCTTACTGAGAAATAATAGAGAAATAATGCTTTCATGGCTCACTTTGAATGTAAGAGACTAGATATCAGATATGTCTATAAGTAGCAACCTAAACTTCCAAGTCAAAGTTGACGAAGTATCACAGAAACTTCAAAACAACTGAGTAAAACTGCACGGTCCAGTAAGCCCCCTTGGGACAAAGTAACTTCTGGTTCCCACAGTCTTGAGCTGACCCAACTTTTACATTCCCTAAGGCATATTTCATGTACCGTCCAGCCCAGCTATGGTTAACATGATGTGATTAACTTCACCAGTGGTACTAGCTAAACTGTCATTTCCCCAGACCCACACAAGCAAAGAAAATAGCTCATTGTAGGAGCACACCATTAATAAACTAGTCACACACAGTGCTGCTTCATAATCGTAACAATTATGGCTTACGAGAAGAGGAATAAAAAGGTCTTCATAAACTTTACAAAGATGTTTATTTGTTTTACGGGATTTAAGCTGCTCATTGTGTCAGATAAAAAATTAGAGGTGAACCATGGCTTACATTTTAAAATAGATCATCCGTTTTATTCCCCTAGTTCCATAAAAACAATGTAAATACAAGCAATTTGTACATCTTGCTGGTGAATTCACATGATGCTCTAGTTCCCTGATCCTTGGATTTCCTCATCCTCTGCATTTATTCTTTTCTGATTTGACCACTGGTCACCGGAGTGGAGTGGAGTTGGGGCTGAGAAGAGAACGCTATGGCTATTTGGTATGATAATGTTATTGCTTGCCCTTTCAGTCCACTCGAATTACTCCAAACACGGAATCAAAGTTGAAGATTGAAGCCCTGAACCCTATAGGCATCACTGTCAGCTTTTTTTGCATAGGCATTACTAGGGATCTGAACGGTAGGGACACTGCTAGAGAAGGTGGTTAAGAGCCAACTGTTTAAATAAAGATGAGATGACATGGAGATGCTGGTCTTGTCCACACAAGGAATTACCTAGCACTATATTAGGCATCTTGCTCAGCTGTGTAGATGTCCTTGGAATTAGATCCAGAAAGGCAGTTCCAACTTAAAATTGGTAAAATCTTTTGGCAATGGGCTAATTGCTTTAAAAGGGGGAAAAAAAAATACGGATTCACTTTAAAGATTTTGCAGGTGAAGAAACTGTCCCATAAAGATTCTTATAAAAGTTAACTGAAATAACTGATATGAGTTACTATGGACTACCAGGGAACTGTCAATAGCTAGATCATAAAACCAAAAAGGTCAGTTTTTAGTTTCTTTAGTTTTCTGATTGTCACAGATGTAATCAAACAAAACAAAACAAGAACTGGGAGCCAGAAAGATAAAACAACTCCCTGGACCACCGTGGCAGGGCAGATTGGTTAGACCCGGATTCCCAGAGTGTGGAGCAGGTACTCTGCGTAAGCCGGGCCTGGAGGGCAGCAATTCGTGATGCTGAATCCCACAGGAAGGAACTCCTCAGTGCCTGCTCCTGACTACTTCAAGGACAAAGTCTCAATTTGAGTCTGTGTACTTGAATTTCTCTTCTTAACAAATGTCCTGAACAGGAGAGTGAGGGGGGGCCTCAGGTCATACACCCTCTTCCTGGTAAAACTGGCAAAGTAGAATGTAATTACGCCTGCCTGCCTGCCTGCCTCCCAGCTTGTATTATTTCACAGTGGCCTCCCATTTACAGGAAGTGCTACTAATTTTCCTTTTTAGAGAGTGACACAAAATCTTTTTTACATAATTTTAACTCAATTGGAAAATATAAGTAGCAACACAATGTAAACATTGTGAGAGTCATTCTGGAATGTTTGAAGTCTGAGATACAGAGGGTTAAGCAAGATTGTCTTAGCTTTCCATATGGCAGTATCCAAACTCCTCTGAGAACGGGGCACCGGGAGCCAAGTGATGCCATTACTACTGGACAAAGTTTCCATATTTTACCTAAACAGAGACAGATGACCCTGACCTACTTTAATGAAATTTGAGAAAAACCACCTGAGGTAGGCCCCATCATGTCCAGATTTGAAGGTGTTTTGGGATCAATGAAACACACCAGAAATACTCGTTTTTCTTTCCCCCAAACAAGTAGAATGAATGTCAGTGTTGATGCTAATTTACATCCTGATTACACATTAAGTCTTAAATTCTGCTTAACTGTAGCACTGGCGGCTATTTTGCAGAATATTGCATATTAAACCACAGGCGGCCTGACAAATGTTGGAGGAAGGGGAATTTTAAAAACCAGCTTAATGAATCATTGTCCTGTAAGAACTTGAGCAAAGATTAACCCCTGGGGCTTTTATAGACAGACCCTCACCAGTGATCTTCCAAAAGGAACATTTCATAGGCTCACATTTTGTTTGACATGACAACTCATTTGTGATGTTTTGCTGACATTTTTGATTATGTATACAAGCCTTAGGATGAAAAACATTAACAAAATTTATAAAGCAGAAAAATTACAGTTATTCAAAAACTTGAAGTATGCTGGCAAAAGTAAAACTTATCCATGAGAACATAGCAATTAGCTCTTGCCCTCCCCCCCAAAAAAACCCTAAAACCAATCTGAAATGTGTAATTTAAAAGAAATAGGTTTTCAGGCCCACAATTGAAGAGTACATCAAGGCTTTGCAGCTGGAGGTTTAAAAAACCCCACTTTCCGAAAATATCTGACAACGAAGGGCACAGAAACTAAGGTAATACTGATCCTCACTGGCGCAAACAGCTTGTGGATGGCGTAAGCCACCACGAAGGTACCTGTGCCCGCCGCCATTTTTGACTGGACCAGTGACTCTTTAAATCCGAGTTGAAGCAGGACTGCAGACATGTCCACACCACTGGAGGGGAAAGAGGCAAAAACCCGATTATTACAGCAAGGGGTTAAATTAAATCAATTTGGCTATGAGATTTACAGTATTTTTAAAAATGTGATGAAAGTAGCTAGAAGAATAAAAAGTCTTAGGGGAAAAAGTTCTTACACAAACAATCTTACATGACAGTAGAAAACCAATATTTATTACTGTCAAAAATCTTACCTTGAAACAACCATGTAAAATATGCCCAAGGAGATTAGCGAGATTCCAATGTGCAGGGACACGCCAACGGCGCCATATTCTTGAAAAACCTTTTTCAGCTGCTGCGATTTGCTTTGCTTTTTCTCCTCTGCTCTGCTGACATCGCTGCCTGCTGTTCCAGTGATTCTGCTGGGGTCCTGTGCACAAACCAAAGAAGGGAGACACTCTAGGGCAGGAGCAGGACGTTAGTGTCCTCACCAGCTTTCACATCACGCACTGTTGTGCTCTCTTTCCCTCCAGTGCGAGGTCAGTTACCTCTTACCCAGTGGGCTGAGGCTAATGCCCACTTAGCCACTAAGTGCGGTGAAAGGCTGGGTACTAGGTATGAAGGGCAGAATGACGGCTCCAAAGGTGTCCAGGTCCTAGTCCCCAGAGCCTGTGAATATGTTACCTTACATCGCAAAAAGATTTTGAGATGTGATTAAGCTAAGGATCCTGAGATGGGCAGGTCATCCTGGATTTTGAGTGAGACCAACGTAATCACAAGGGTCCTTATCAGTAATGAGAGGGAACCAGATGTGAGGACAGAAGCCAAGTTAGAGATTTGAAGACGCTACACCACTGGCTTGGAAGACAGGAAATGCAGCCAAGGAATGCAAGCAGCCTCGAGAAGCTGGAAAAGACAGGAAATGGACTCCCCCCACAACCCAGGCTTCAGAGGGAACCAGCCCTGCTGACACCTTGACTTCAGCCCCGTAAGACCCAGTTTGGGCTTCTGACCTCCATAACTGTAAGATAATAAATGTGGGTTGTTTTAAGCCACCAGGTTTGCGGTAATCTATTACAGCAGCCATAGGAACTAAAACGCCAGGGCTCACACCCTTGAGGACAACGACGATCCTTTATCGAGCACTTTCTCTGAGCCAGGCAGTGCTCAGATGCTTCTATGCATCCGCTGTCTGCTTCTGTCCTCACAACAACCTCTAGGTAGATACTACTATTCCTTCTACTTTACAGAGGAGGAACACAGGCTTACAGGGGCCAAGGAATTGGCCCAAAGTCACCAAGACTAGAACCCAGGTCGTCTGATTCCACAGCCTGAGCACATGACAACCATGCCAGACTCTACAAAACCAGGACGGTGGATGCGAAATAAAATGGAGCAGAAGCTTTGGGATATTTACTTCCAGATTTAAGATTTACCCCTGAGATTTGAAAAGATAAAAAGGGAGGGCCGGGCCATAAATACACTGGCTGGGATTTGTACAGAAATAATTCATTGCACCTGGTGTCTGTTAACATTTATTGAGCACCTACAGGGCCTGGTATGTTTGGGAGAAACAAAAAAACAACATTGGATTAAAAAAAACCCAACTCCTTCTCAACATGGAGAGTGCCTTTTTTATCAAAGGATTTCTCTAACAACAGGCCTCTTCCGGGCAGGCGGTTATCCCGGTCAGTTAGTTCCAGTTACTGACTTTGCAGCAGGATGGCCTCTTCCTCGTACTTTTGAGCATGCTGCAGCTGAGCCACGCTTCACAGGCAAGAGGGAGGAGCACGACAGCCCAGCATCCCCAGGAGGCAGAGGCAGGACTCCCCGGAATGAAAATGAGAAAGAATACAGGGCCCCAGAGCAGAGGCCTCCAGACTCAACAACGCCTGGGCTGCAGGGGACCTCCCAGCTCCACCCCTGACCCACTTCAGGAGCTCTGACCATGCTTGTCTGGGGGTAGGCCCCAGATGCTGCTTTTCCCATGAGCTCCCAGGTGGCCCAGATGCCGCTGGTCCGTTTGTACCTATGTCCAGGCGCCCAGCCTCTGATTTTATAGAGCTGGGGTGAGGCCTGGGCACCGGGATTAGTTATCAGTTCTCCAGGAGATTCTAATGTGATCGGCCAGGGTGGCCAGGGGAACCTCTGCTCACCTCTCCTGCCTCACTTTGCCCTGCTCTTTCCCACCCTCAGCAGACTCTCCAGGTGGGCCTTCCCTTCTACTCAGATGCACCTCCACTTCCCAAGCCGGAAATGCAAACATCAGCTCCTCCAAGCGGCCCTCCGTGACCACCTCACCGCTGCCTGCCCTCCATGGCAGCCCCCTTCTCACATCACCCACTTCCCTCTTCGAAGTTTCTATCTTCAAGAATTGTCTTGCTTATAATGTAACAAATACATGTAACAGGTAACGGAAGCATTGTTTGCCTGTTTGCTGTTGGCCAGAGGCCTGGAATATGTGTGGTTCCAGGGAGCAGGGGCCTGGTCTGTCCTGCTCGCTGCTGTGCTTGGCTTCGAACTAACAGAGCATCTCTGCCGAGTGTATCAAGGTCAGGGAGCCAAGGGAGCATTTCCATTTTTCACACTTCTGCAGTGTTGAGATGGACCACGGTGAGCATGTATTAGGATGTGACAGGGGGTCCCTTCCCTCCTCAGATACTTTCACTGCCTACTGTCCTACCCCCCTCACCTGCCAGGCCCCCGCTGTGTCCATTCTGTCCCCTGAGCCACCAGCGCCCCCAGCCCTGGTGGTCCACCCTCAGCCCTCCAATCCTCAGGACTCGGGCAGACCCTCTCTTGCGGCAGACACCCCGTCAGAACTCATTGCTCTGCCCTCATGCTCCCCATGGCAGCTCCTTCATTCTGCCTTCTGGCCCCTTCTATCCCCCTACTGAACTTTTCCTTCTTTGACTGACACACTTGGACCAGAACTCCTAGGCAACTCTTGCCTGGGGTGTGGCGGGAATGTAAGAAACAAGTCCCGACGGGCCTGTCCTCACAGGTCTCGTCCACGAGGGGCTGACCCTCCGGAGCAGGAGATGCATGGCTGTTACCTAAAGGGCGCACCTGAGGGGCAGCGGGCTAAGTGCGCTCGGGGGAAGCTGCTTCCGAACGGAACCTGCCGCCGGTGGTCTTTGGGTTTCCTCTCTCCAGGACACCCCGTGTGTCTGCGCAGGGAGGGCACTGGGAGCAAGAAGGGGTGCAAACCCCGGCATGACCTCGGCCGGGGGGCCCCTGGCCCTACACCCACCCCGGCTGATGACTCCCAGATGTGCATCTCCCCAAACTCGGAACTGGCACGACTGCCTCGGCTGGGATGTCGACAGCCACACATCCCCAACACGTCCAGACGAGCTCCTGATCCACCCTCCCCCACACTCTCCTCTCATGGTCAAGGTGGTCCCCATCTCGGCAAACTCCATCCTTCCAGTCACTCTGGCCAAAACCTCTGAGTCACAGTGACTCCTCTCTCATCCAATCCATCAGCCAACGCTGCTGTGTCCAGACTCAGACCTCCCCCCGCCACCCTGGCCCAGGCCCATCATCTACCCCCTGGATTATTGTGACAGCCTCCCAACTGGTCCCCTGCTCCCACCCTTGACCCCTCCAGTCTAGTCTCCACACAGTGGCCAGAGGGACCCTGCAAAAACCTAGGTGGGATTGCAGCACTGCTCCCCTAGAGGCCTCCTGGAAGCCAGAGCAGCCTCTGCACCAGTCCCCTCAGCTCCCAAACACACACCCTGACCCCCCGGACCCTTCCCTCTCCCTTCCCGCAATTCCAGCCACACCGGCCTCCTCGCTGTGCCTTCAGGAAAACAGGCCAAGAACGCTCAAGGTGCTGGCATCTGTTGCTCCCTCTGCCGGGACGCTTTTCCCCAGAGGTGCTCACAGCTCGCTCCCTCACTGCCACCTCCAGATGTTTATCAAACGTCACCTCAGGGAGGCCCTCCTGGACCCTCTTTAAAACTGAGACCCCTTTACACGCCCTCTCCCTGCGTATTTTCCTCCATCATGCATTTACCATCTAACACCCCACATGTTTCTCCCTCCTTCCCAGGGAGGGGCCCATCCATTCTGGTAACAGTTTTATTGATATATAAATTACAAACCACACAGTTCACCTGTTTAAAGTATACAGTGGAATGGTTTACGTGTGTTTACAGCTGTACAACCATCACCATAATCTAATTTTGGAACATTTTCTTCTCCCAATTAGCAGTCACTCCCATTCCCCTCCTCCCCCATCCCCTTTGAGGGAAGGCAAACACCAGTCTCCTTTCTGTTTCTGTAGATTTGCCCATCCTGGACACTTCAAATAAATGGAGTCATACAATATGTGGCCTTCTGTGATGGGCTTCTGCTATGGACTGAACGTCTGTGACCTCCCCAAAATTCCTATGTTGAAACCTAATCCCCGATGTGATGGTATCTGGAAGAGGGAGATGACTAGGTCACGAGGGTGGAGCCCTCATGCATGGGATTAGAGCCCTCATAAAAGATCCCAGAGAGCTCCCTCGCCCCCTCCACCATGTGAGGACACAAGGAGAAGACGGCGTCTATGAACTAGGAAGCGGGCCCTCGCCAGACACTGAGTCTGCTGGTGACCTTGGGCTTCAGTCTCCAGAACTGTGAGAAATAAACATTTGTTGTTTAAGCCCCCCATTCTGTGGTCTTTTTGTTATAGCAACCCAAATAGACTAAGACAGTTTTCACTTAGCATCATGTTTTCAAGGTTCATTCATGTTGTAGTGGGTATTAGAACTTCATTCCTTTTTTTTTTTTTTTTTGGGTGAGGAAGATTAGCCCTGAGCTAACATCCATTGCCAATCCTCCTCTTTTTGCT